TATACGGGAAATTAAAAATATTAAATGGCGACAATTTACCCATTGCACCCTCTGTGCATGTGTGTATATATATATATATATATATATATATATATATATATATATATATATTCGAAAATTATAACATAAATATGTATAAAATCACTACCAAAATAGCCATTTCATTTCAACACTTCTGGTGTCTTATAAAGTGATAGTGTTGAATGTAGAATAAAGAGTTTTAAAAGGTTCAAATCAACCAAACACTCCCTGGCTATTTTGTAGTGATTTTATAACATATTTATGTTATAATTTTCGAATAAATAATTATATTTGCTCTACTCTGTATTGAGCACTCTTTTAAGAACAGTATTTTTGGTTTTTGGAATTTATTCTGTATACACCAATCCTATACTTGGAGATATATATATATATATATATATATATATATATATATATATAAAAATCCAAGTCACTATCCACTACTCCACTGCCTATATATATATATATATATATATATATATATATATTCGAAAATTATAACATAAATATGTTATAAAATCACTACCAAAATAGCCATTTCGTTTCAACACTTCTGGTGTTTTATCAAGTGATGGTGTTGAATGTTCTATATCACTTGATAAGACAAGAGAAGTGTTGAAACGAAATGGCTGTTTTTGTAGTGATTTTATAACATATTTATACTATAATTTTCGAATAAATTATACATCTATACATATATGGGAAAATGATAGATTTTTTATTATAGAGCGCGAACAATTTTAGTGGAAAGAATTATGACAAAGTGTAAAATTTTTTCGTGAGACGCCTTTCGTCCCTTAGGATTTCATCGAACTGAGTTTATATTTATTTACGTTGACACCACTATGCATTCTCACAAACAAAACCGAAACAAATTTCAAATTTTAAACAATTTTAAATGTGTTTTGATTATATAATCTGGCTGATTTCATTTAGATTTCTTTCTATTTTATGTTTCCATTAGTTTTTTTATTATTAAATGTCCTACATCGCAACAACAGAAGGTCTGCCAAAAAAAGTAAAACGTTCTAAGAACATGGACACAAATTTACTGCGGTTGTTCTAGCGATCAGGGCACTTTCTAAATATTTTCATCAAACTTCTTTTCTCTTTTAATTAAAGTAGCATCTTTTTTAAAATCAAAAATGTTGTCAGTCTCGTCACGGTGAACAACTAATTCGTTTAATGTATTGTTTTGTAAAAGTCCCTTTTGCGTTCATATATTTTATTTAAATACATTGAGGTTTCTCCAATGTATTCCTTGTAGCAATTATTACAGGTAATAGAATAAATTCTTCCTTCAAGTTTCAGCTTATTATTTTGTTTTGTATTAATTAAATCTTTTATTTATTTTTTAGACGTAGTTGCAACAAATATTGAGTTCAGATAAATTATTTTCAGTTGTAGTTGGTGTGGGTAGAACAAAATATTTTTATTCGTTGGGTTTGTCAGGAAGGACCGCTTTTCTGTCTTGAATATGCACACACACGCACACACACACACGCACACACACACACAAACATGTGTGTGGGCATGTCTGTGTATGTGTGTGTGATATAATGGAATATGAATACACCCGAGTTCCCCCTCACTGGAATATGATTGGCTGGTGTCCGTCATAAATACAGACGAGCGTGTAGGTACGACAGAGTTTAAGTCTATGACGACGCCCATTGGACTAAGCCATTGGCTATCCTATTGGTCTACACTCATTACCTGTGACTACGACGAGTACCAGTCGATTACTGCTATCGTGTACTACTTGGTTATAGTAGCCAAACCCACTTAGCTACTTCGATCAAATATATCCCTTTCCGGGACATATCAGTGTGTAAATCTGACTAAACATCAAAATAATTTGTGAATATCTGTTAGTCAAGCTGAGAACTTTTCTTCCCATCCTGTATATACGTATCGGGTCATCCCATAAGTTCAGTCCGAATTTTAACTTTTTGTTAAAATGAACGAAATTATAATGTCTAATGGAGCTGAACATTATTTTTATGTTTAGATGCATTTAAACTGATCAAATTTTATTTCAGAGAACAATAAAATTAAATTTTGTTTGATTGAAACCCTGCTAACATGGAAGTACCCAAGAATCATTTGAGGCACATAATGCTTTATGAGTTCAAGAAAGGAAAATCAGCAGCCGAAGCGGCAAGAAACATTCACTCACTTTATGGAAAGGAATGTGTGAATGAAAGAACTTGCAGAAGATGGTTTGCAAAATTCAGAGGTGGAGATTTCACCCTTGAAGATGAAGATCGAACCGGACGTCCAGTTGAGTTTGATGAAAAGCTTCTTGAAGCAGACCTTGAAGAAAATCCTGCTTTATCAGTTGAGGAATTGGCAGTGGTTCTCAGTTCAAACCATACAACTGTTCATCGTCATCTTCAACAACTTGGAAAAGTTTCTAAACTTGGAAAATGGGTGCCTCATGAATTGTCTGAAAACAACCTCAAATCCCGAGTTGACATCTGCTCTTCTCTCCATTCTCGGCAATTTGTTTCACCTTTTTTGGATAGACTTTTGACTGGCGACGAAAAATGGATGTTTTATCGAAATGTTAAGAGACGTAGACAGTGGCTTGGTAAAGGGGAAGGACCCCAGCCACAGCCGAGAAGCAAACTTCATGGGCAAAAGATTCTTCTTTCAATCTGGTGGGATCGCCAAGGAATAATCCACTTTGAATTCTTACCACCTAATTCAACAATTAATGCTCAAATATACTGTCAGCAATTAGAGCGTTTGAACTAAGCTTTGAGGAAAAAAGACCTGCTCTAGTGAATCGAAAAGAGGTGATGTTTCATCAGGACAATGCACGATCCCACACAGCAAGAATCACGTCACAAAGATCGAAGAACTTGGTTAGGAGAAAATTCCTCATCCACCTTATTCTCCCGATCTTGCTCCTTCAGACTACCATTTGTTTCGTAGCTTACGGAATCATTTGGAAGAAACAGCTTTTGTAACACAGGAAGAGGTTAAAACTGACATTTGTGAGTTCTTCGAATCAACGCCAAAAGAATTTTACAGTAATGGAATTAAGTCATAGATAATCATGGAAAATACATTGTTGATTGAATCTGTAATTAAATGTAACATTTGGTCACTTGTTTTCTTTATTCAAAATTCGGACAGAACTTATGGGATGACATGATATATATGAGGATCCCATGTGATGAAACCTACTTAGATAGTACCTGGCTCATTAGGATTTATTTATTTTACCTTTGCTCTGCTTTGCGTATTGAGCACTCTTCGTTGTAACTTATTACTTGCTGTTTTTTTTTCTTTTTTTGTACCAGAAATTTAACGTACTGGACGATTTCTTTCGGCCTGTTCGGAAGTTTCCTGGTCTTTCTTCTTTTTTCTAATTTTTTTTCCTCGGGGGTCAATTTGTTTGAAAATTGTGCTATCCAGGTTTTCTCACCTAGCTTAAATAGATTTGCATTATATATATATATATATATATATATATATATATATATATATGTGTGTGTGTGTGTGTGTGTGTGCTTGTGTTTGTGTGTGTGTGTGTAAATCTGGCCAAAAATCATTGTATATATATATATATATATATATATATATATATATATACTATTTATGCTCTCGTACGACTGAGCACTATGGAGAAAAGGAATTTTTAATCGCTCTGCATAAGAATTAAGCGGCTATGACGGCCGGTATGGCGTTTATATAGCACGTATATGACACGTTAAAAATTCCCTTCCTCTGCCGTGCGCCGATAGCTTCGGGGTCTCTATTAAATTGGTCGAGTTTCCATCCCGGGTTGAAGTCTCGCCACACTGATGAGCTGTGATACAGGCTTTCCATGGATGACCCTCTCTCACTCTCTCTCTCACTCACTCACTCTCTCTCTCTCTCTCTCTCTCTCTACATATATATATATATATATATATATATATATATATATGTGTGTGTGTGTGTGTGTGTTTGTGTTTGTGTTTGTGTGTGTGTGTTTGTGTTTGTGTGTGTGTGTGTGTGTAAATCTGGCCAAAAATCAGAATAACTTGTTCATATCTGCTTGGTCAATCTGAGAACTTTTCTTCCCACCCTCACACACACACACACACACACACATATATATATATATATATATATATATATATATATATATATATATATATATATATATATATATATATATATGCAAACATCAGGCTTGTATAGGAACTAACAAAGAAAAATTCTGCTGTTTTGTTTCCTCAGTCGCAGAATTCTTCTAAGTAATGAGATGAACCTAAGAAGAATGAACGGCCAAATAAATTACGGCGCTTTTTTGTTATCGGAATTTGGACACGAAGAGCAAAGAACAAATAATTGGGATTCTTTATTGTCGTAAATGAATAGCGAAGTGACAGCAGGTGCTGCCAATCACACAGTAAGGAAACGGGACAATAGTGGAAGGTAGGAATTTTTTTTTTTTAAATGCCGAATATATTCTTCCAACGAATGTATTAATGAGAATACGTTTACACGGAAGCTTCTCATGGCCCAGTGGTAAGCAAACTGGTGTTGTAGGCCTTTTCTCTCACGCAAGCTTGTCTGTGTTTGTGGTGTCAGAAATAGAGACTCGGATTTAAAAATCGGAGTGCCGGGTTCGATTTCAATTAATTTTCGTTCTATTCACTTACGCGTAAATAAAATTATGAGTTAATTGGTAGGAATTGTGTCTCGAATAGTCTAGGGGAATTTTGTTAATGTTATAGTCATTCACAAAAAAAGGATAAGTTTAGTTTTTAAATTCAAAATATATTTTGGCTTTAAATAACCTACAAGGTGTTGATAAGCTGTAAAAATTAAATCAATAATGTCCAGATAAGAATGCTTAAGATTACATACATTTATATATATATATATCGATATTTATTACTGCTATTATAATGACAGATAGATGGATAGTTAAATAGATAATGAACAGACCGAGACAAATAAGTAGATAGACAAAGAACAGATCGTGATAGATAGATAGATAGATAGATAGATAGATAGATAGATAGATAGATAGATAGTGAAGAGACCTAGATAGACAGAGAGATATTAAACGGACAGAAACAGATAAACAGACTGTGATAGATAGATAGATAGATAGATAGATAGATAGATAGATAGATAGATAGATAGATAGATAGAATCATAGATAGTGAACAGTCTGAGATAGATAGATAGATAGATAGATAGATAGATAGATAGATAGATAGATAGATAATGAATAGACCAAGATAGATAGATAGATAGATAGATAGAGAGAGAGAAGAAATATAAAGCAATGAACACATGGATATATGTTAAAAGATCGAAAGTGACATATGAATAGAAAGTGACAGATGAACAAAGATAGATATAAAAAGAAAAGACGAATATAGAGGTGTAAACAGCGAGGATAGCGTGTTTGATAATTGGCGTCACTTATACTTGAATGGAGTAAGCCATTTCGTATGCCATTGTTTATTCAACACATATTTTTTGTTTTGAAAGTCAATAGATATTTTATTCATAAACATCCCTGTCTCTCTTGCTCTCTCTCTCTCTCTCTCTCTCTCTCTATATATATATATATATATATATATATATATATATATATATATATATATGGTAATTGTATGAAACTCAAAGCGACAAGCATCCATAGCACACATATATAAGTTTACATCTGTATAAACACACACACGCATATATATATATATATATATGTGTGTGTGTGTGTGTGTGTGTGTGTGTGTGTGTGTGTGTGTGTGTGTGTGTGTGTGTGTGTGTGTGCCTAGACATCAAAGCATATCAGGAGTTTTGATTGATGTCGACTTAATGAGCCGTCATTCTTCGGAGGCGTCCACACGTACAAATTACCGAAAGATGATCGCTAAGTTCCTCGTTGTGGGGAGATCTGACGCCAAAACATTTTTCTGTGGTCAGTTGGAATTTCTTTTCAAGATATACACATATCTACATACACACACCGACATTCAGTTCGTCTCTTCTGGAAAAAAAAAACACAGAGTATATTCAAAGATATTTATATTATGCAGAAATTCGTTTAGCCATCTAATTATACCTATCAGAATCACTATCTGTCTCTGTCTCTCTCCCACACACACACACACACACACACACACACACACACACATATATATATATATATATATATATATGATGAGCTGTGATACAATGAAACAGTCTGTCTCTGGATGACAATATATATATATATATGTATATATATATATATATATATATATATATATATATGCCTATATATATATAAAAGTGAACATTGAAGTCAACACTTAGGGCGACAGGCTGTTTCAGGCTAGACGTAATCGTCAGGCCTGACGAGTGCTTCTAGCATGAAACAGCCTGTCGCCTCTAAGTGTTGACTTCAATGTTCACTTTTATATTTATACATGCTCTATCTCTGATATAATATATATATATATATATATATATAGATAGATAGATAGATAGATAGATAGATGTGTGCGTATGTGTGTGTGCGCGCACGCGCGTAATTCTTCTGTTTTCAGTGTCCTTGACTTATTCTTATGTATATTTTTCTTCGTTATCTGATGTTTTCTCGTGGTTTTCTATATTATATTCTTTGGCAAGCAATTGACATTTAAGGAACATTGGTTCTATGCTCTGCAGTTACAGATGCCATTGATTTGCGCGGGTGTTTTTTGATTATTTTTTCTGTTTTACTTTTATATTATTTGTGTATTATTTACGGGTTTGATGGCGATGTTTGTGTATGAGTGTGATGAATATTTTCCTAAGTTTAAGTTTTTGTTGTACTTCGAGTCGAACCATATGATGTTGCTTGTTCTATTAACTTTTTTTTATTCTGTCTGATGTCTATGTGACTACCAAAAATACATTATTTTTTAGGGGTGTTTCATGTACTTTTTTGACCTCACTGTTCATGGTTTCATCAAAACTTCTCTTTTAACATAATGAAGAGGAAAAAATTGCAATATAACCTCTGGTAAAAAAAAAATGAATTAATAATATCAGAAAAAAATTGCAATATGAGTATTGTTAAAAAAAATATTTCTGAAACATAGTCCCAAAAATGTATTCAAAGATGTTCCCAAGGACATATGTCCCACTGGATAAAGACGTTGGTTAGATCTGGTGACAAAACCCAAAGAGATGTGAGTTCAATATTTGTATGTTTTGTTTTGTTTTACTTCCATTATTTACATTATTCGGACTGTTATCCTCATCTTTATTGCAATATTCAAAGCGTTTCGGCTGTTGTACGCTTCGGCCTTTATTTCTATGTTTTTTTTATATATATATCTATCTATATCTCTGAGATGAGCCATTATGATTACTTGAATTATTTACATTATTCGGACTGTTATCCTCATCTTCATTGCAATATTCACAACGTTTCGGCCGTTGTACGCCCCAGCCTTCTTCATGTGATTGGAATTTCGAACCAAGCCCTTTATTTCCACCACCGGAGTATATTGTTCTAGTTCCACTGCTGTGGTGAAAGAAAAAATTTAGAGAGTTGAGTTAAAGGGAAATAACTGAGACATCCGGAAAAAAACATGGCACGTGGAACTAGAACAATCTACCCCGGTGGACCAAATAAAGGGTTCGTTTCGAAATACCAATCACCTGAAGAGGGCCGGAGCGTACAACGGCCGAAACGTTGTGAATATGGGAATGAGGGCAAAATTCCGAATAATGTAAATAATGCAAGTTCTCTTTGTAACGTCAAATGTTTTTTTTTCTTCATTTACCCACGTGTTTTTTCGTTGTCGAATAATAGAGATTTTGGCACTGCTTAATGAATTTGTCTTTGTTTTATAATACGAGCATTTTACTGGAACTTCTACGTATGACCACTTTGTTAACTATGGTTTCTTCTGAGGACCAAAGTGTTTCTTGCTAGGTCTTTGAATCAGTGTGCGCTTAAACCCTGATCAAAGTATGAATTCGAATGATGATCATTGTATTAAATTTAAACTGGGACGCTATCCCCACGATCAAAATGTTGCTCCCTGAACCGCTTTCTAGGAACAGTTAACTTTTTCTTCTTTCTGCCTACGATCAGTAATATCTTGATAACCTGTGTGCTCTGACGAAGATCAATGTCTGGATCTGCCAGCGTAATTTGTATGCTCAACCTCGGATCATGCGACACTTTTTCGCAATTCTGTCGAGGTTTAGTATATTATCCGAGGTAAAAAAAAAATGTATCTGTTTCCACCGATGATTAGATGATTATCGATATGCTCTGCTTCGGATAAAAATATCGCGAATTAACACTTCTGTCTATAATCCACGTATTATCTATTCCATCGCCCAGTGATCAATGTGTCGCTGCTAAGCCTTCTCGTGAGAATTAAGGTCTGTCGATGTCAAACTCTGCTATCTTAGTCTATGGTCAGAATATTACTTACACCCGTTATGATCGAAGTGTTACTCTTTGACAATTATAACTTGAGAGAGTGGATTTTCTATATACTCTCACCAGAAGAAAAGTTAATCACACTGGCACAATCAGTACTTCACTTCTACTCCTTGCCTTATGTCAATGGTTATGTTGCCTAAGATTAGTGTCCTAGGATCGAAATTCTTCTCCCTGAAAATTTGTCTAGCATCAGTGAATTACGTCTTTATTCTGCCTCGCGTCAATGTCTCTAAAGAAGATTAGGGCTTTCTCTGTGTGATCTACCTTTAAACAAAATGCTGTTCTGCCTACGAACAAATTCTCTCTGATACAGTTGAGCTCTGCCTAAGGATCAACGTTTTACCTTTGAGCTATGTCTCAGGATCAACCTTTTACCTTTGAGCTCTGCCTAAGGATTTAACGTTTTACCTTTGATCTCTGCCTAAGGATCAACGTTTTACCTTTGAGCTCTGCCTAAGAATTAACATTTTACCTTTGATCTCTGCCTAAGGATCAACGTTTTACCTTTGAGCTCTGCCTAAGGATTTAACGTTTTACCTTTGATCTCTGTCTAAGGATCAACGTTTTACCTTTGATCTCTGCCTAAGAATCAAAGTTTTACTTTTGAGCTCTGCCTAAGGATCAACGTTTTATCTTTGAGCTCTGCCTAAGGATCAACATTTTGCTCCGAGGCACTCTGCCGCGGAAAATTTTATTATCTTTGCGCGCTGCTTCGAATTAAATTGGCAATCTCCGGATCTTCCGCCTATGAACATGTCATATTTCTGCGTTCTGTGAACAATATATATATATATATATATATATATATATATTACGCTTTATATATGTGGATGCATACACAGAAACGGATAAGGCTGAACACAGATTAATTCATATGAATAGAAATAGAGAGCCTCGCAGATATGAAAAGAAACATTTGAGGAAGATGACAAATATGGTGACGATTGGGAGAGAGAGGTGTGAATAGAGAAAGAAAGAGGTGGATTAACACAACGAGATAGAAAAGAAAAATATATGGAGAATTAAAGTTAAAGAGACAGTAAAGGATATAAACAAACAGAATAATTTGCAAGAGGAAGAAGAGTTTATAGACAGATTCAGCAAAAGTATATATGAACATAGGGATATATATATATATATATATATATATATATATATATATATATATATATATATGAAGGAATATAGTTTTATGGGGTAAAGTGCTCAATATCAGTTATAGAGCGTATGTAAATATAAATATAAAAGTGAACATTGAAGTTAACACTCAGAGGCGACAGGCTGTTTCATGCTAGACGCAATTGTTAGGCCGCAAATGTTGGATTTTTCCTTGACTATTTATATATAGATTACCCACAATGCTAGACATAGAGTGTGTTTTGTTCAAACACAAGAAAAGTTAAATAAAAGCCTTAATCGCAGTACGTTGTCTGTTGTCTTTAATGAAATACACACACACACATACATATATATATATATATATATATATATATATATATATATATATATATATATATATATATGTATGTATGTATGTATGTATGCATGTATGTATATTAATTTTAGCAAGTGTACTCTGGATTTATATATAAACAGTAGTGGTTTTCCAAACGCGTGCGTTATAAAAATTATCAATCATTTATTGGCTTCTTGCAGAATTCATCCTATACCAATCTGTAGAGTTTCTTTTTCAATCCTTCTATCTTTTTGACACCCACCAGCAAAGAGATCACCACTCCAGCCAATATTCTTCTCCGTACCTCAATCAATGACATAATATGACACACACACACACACACACACACACACACACACACATATATATATATATATATATATATATATATATATATATATATA